ATGAGCATGGGAAGGTGAAGAGGATGAGACTGGCACCACCCTAAGGAATTCGCAGTGTTTGCTTACTGGCTTGGGGAGGTTAGATTCAGTCTGGCAAGATTCTGTCTTGTAGGTGGAAGCTAATAAATGCTCTAGAACTATATCTGTACTATCTCGTGGAGTTCTTTGGGCTGAACCTGACAATCGAAGAGAGTTGTAATGTATTGTCCCTTTAATGGAGCTTAGGGTACTATAATTCAGCATATTTGCTAAGTATGTGTGTGAGTGTGTGCACACATGCACACGTATTGCTGTGGCTGGGTCTTCCACTTCCATCTTTGCTACCAACCCATTACATTGTGGATATCCTGCATCAGAGGTTTCATGAACATTGTATTTTAATGAAAAGTTCTTATGAAAATCCAAAGTAGCTTAATTGCAGTCCATCATCCGTCGACACATCTGAAGCTATATCACATTTGCAAAACAATTAATTTCATTCTTATTTATTGCTACTGAATTTTTTAATATTGGAAGCTCTGGAAATTTTAACAACCAGTGCATTTAAATTTAAAAGATTAACAAACAATCGTGAAACCAGAGTTATTCTGTCTATATTAAATTCTCCTATGCCTATGATTTCATTACTTTTTTTACACATAACAATTGGTGTTAAAATATGGCATCTGTGATATTTTTGACATGTTTTCTCTTTGTTTTTATTCATTTGTAGCAAGGTGTGTAAATCTACCTCTGATTTGGATTAGCTTTCTGAGCCAGAGAAAAATTATAAGATCATAATGTACACGTTGTATGTGAGATTAGTAACATGATTCCCATGAGTCAAACTTTTCAGCCGGAAAATATTACTTTGGTGACATCACTGCTCAGCACAGAGCTATACCTGATTTTTTAAAAGAAAAACACAGCTCTAAAGAAATACTGATGTTTTCTCTCATTATTGTTGGGTTATTTATATCTCATAGCAATCTATATACAAGACTACATTATTGGCTCTTATTACTATGGGAAAAACACTGAGACTACATAGTCAGGTGTGCACATGTTCCTAACATTAAAGAAATACTACTAGAACACTGTACAAAGCACACTGTACAAAGAATTGTCTATACAATGGCTTTATTGTGTAAGCCAGTTTTCAAAACACAAATACTGGAGAGAATTTCCATGCAGGATTCTAACGTCTCCTTTTTCTTTCTCTCTCTCTCTCTCTATTTTGAAAGACAGATATATCCCATGGTGGAGAAGGATGTCCTCTTCTGTGGTTTATGTGCTTCTGGCCCTCTCCTACCTGCTGATCATCATATTGTTTGGACTTGTGGTGGCCCAGGGTAAATTAGTTATTTTGAGTTCTGAAATACTTTGTGGGCTTCAAGACAAAATGTTGTAGAAAGTGGTTTTAGAACTCTCTCAAATTCTTAGTATTCTAGAAAAATCAAGTTCCTGAACCCACAAAACCTACATTAATTTCCAGCTGGCCTTGTACGATACAGTGCTATGTGCACCAGGGGACAAAATATAAGTATCTGCAGTTAATCACTGTACTTTACAACCCAACACTGTCTTTAAGGTTAGGTTATAAATTGTTTTAATCATGGTTTGCTGAACAAGTAGAGAAAGTCATGCAGATAAATAAAATAATCAGGCTTATTCAGTCAGTTTTTAACAGTTTTGCCTTCATCTCTTCTGTCAGTACCCAAATGGGACATAAAAACAAACCAGAAATAAGCCAAGATTCTGGGTTCAGACACAGGACTTACAAATCAATTGTTGTGGACATTTTATTTCCTGACCAAAATAAAATACAATGTAAAGGATCCGTCTGTCGATGGATTTATTTGATCAATGGTGAAATCAACTTTTACAAAATGGATGGAAAGGATTTAGGAAATGGTTCTTTTATGCTATTTCCCATTCTGCTCCTTAGCTACTTCATTAAGTATGTGATCCACCCGCTAACTACCTCATTAAACATTCCATATGCACGTGCAAAGGCCCAATCATGTACAAACATTATTTGGAACAGTCAGACATGTTCCAGCTGCTCTTGGCTAACTGCCAAAAGTTGAAAAGTTCATAATGAGTTGAGAAGTTCATTTGCCCCGGCACTGTTCATTTAATACAGCGAGGTTTGCTTTAATAATCAAAAAGAGAAAACTAAACTTACCTCTATTTCTACTGCTTCCGGCTTTTTCTATATTGTGGCAAGTGATTAGACAGATAGAAAGATAGAAAGATATATAAAATATAAATACTATGGCTTGCCACAACAAAATCATATTATTTTAAATTGTGATTTGCTGCAAAAAATAAACTATGGATTGTTACAATATAGGATGGGTTCTGACATTCAAAGAAACCACAATTAGGCAAAGCAAATCCTGATTAAAATTATGCATAAATTAGGCCAAGGAAGGAGGACAAAGAGGATTTTAAGAGTTTCAGAGGTAGATCAATTGCATTGAGATATCATGGATGGCCATCTAATCTGCACCCTTGAACCACAGTTCTGCCCCAGAGTTGTAAAACAATTCCACTTTTCCACCCACTATTTAAAGCGTATTCTGCCCCGAGGAGAGTTATGGTTCTGCTAAATATAGTCAAAACACTTGCAAATCAGCCCACAGTAACAAACCCCAAAATGCATCTATATATGTTTTAACTGTCTCCATGTCTCCCACAAATGATGCTTCTTTTAGCTCTGTACAGCAAAGAGGATGAAAGAACCTAATTTAAGTGGACTCCCCTCTGAAAGCCATGTGCTTTTCAAAGCACAAATATATTAATTGCGGGGGAAGAGAGAGAGACTTACTGTAATCTGTGCAGGATACTTTCCTATGAGGGTTGAGACATATGGTGTAAAATTGTAAAGTTCTTGCAAAGCTAGCCCCAGGCCTGCATTATTTCAAGGTGCTTAAGATCTTTTTTGAATATTGCTTCTCAACTAGTAATATTATTGTGTGCATTTCTATTCTTATAGAAAGGAGCAAATTGCAGCAACAAGGCCAAGGAATCAAAGACAGTAAGTAATTTTCAAGAAGTCCAGGGGCTCCAGGCCCTAATCGTTGGGTGTGGGGAATACTTGTTGAATTAGACCCCATCAGAGTTCACAATGGAGCCTGAGAGGAGAACACACACCCCAAATCATTGTCTGATTTATTAGGAAAGTCTTCCAGTCCACAGAAGGCTGCATTTTCCATGCAGGTTGAACTCCAGCACCTCAGTTTTAAGCAACTAATTTCTTTGCCTGCCATAGGATCCCGGGAAACCTGGCAAACTGAGTAAGCATTCTGTCCATTGAGTAAACACAGTCACTGCCTTGAGAATCAAATTCCACCATAAAATCTGCTTTTCACACTGAGTCATTGTTGAAGTGTGGAAGGCATCTTGGAGACCTTATAGTCCAACTCCCTGCCCAGAGCCATAATTTATTTCCACTAAAATTGTGGTTCAGACATCTCTAAGGCAATTGTGCTTCCCTCACTTCTAAATTCCTAGCATGCTTTCTTCCTCTTTTTAATATACTGAAGAATTCACTGAGAGCAAGTTTATTCCTATGAGTTTTTCCACAGGGGAACATCCCTTTACTTTCTGTTTCCGCTGCTCAGCTGTAGTACCCTTCCAGTCCCCAGCTGATCATACCTTACAACAAAGTTAGCTTTCTGCTTTTCTACTGCAGGCTAACTACATGCTTCCAAAATGCCAGTGCAGTGTAGCAGACACCAAAGCCATTAAGTCTGAAAAAAAAATGCTCTGAGCCTGAAGAACAGCCTTTGGAGTAATATACAAAGGGGCTCACTCTCAGTCTTTTCGTCTTTGCCAGTGTACCCATGTGGAGCCAAAAGCAGAGAATGGGACTATTTTGATGGTGCATGTTACTTCTTCTCCTTCCAACAACTCATTTGGCACACAGCTAAGAGTCATTGTGAACAACAGCATTCACAACTGGTGGTAATTACCAATCAGTATGAACAGGTAAGGATGCTGGGGTTTGTCTGAGGGTAGATGTAGGTTTAAATATCCCATAGAAAAGTTGTTACCAACCCCGGACTACCCATAGCAACATTGGGAGGGGACATTTCTCTGCCCACTACTTCTCTGTTACAAATTATTGCCTTTTTTTCTCCTTGATTTTTCAGGGAGAACCTAGCTGTTTCACCCCTGGGTGAAAAAGCAGCTAGGAGTTGATTTACACTGAAGACATTAAACAGATAAAATATGCTGAGATATGTCCTCTCCTGCATTTTCGAACAGAGCAAGATGATCTGTACAAAGTACTCATTATTTCGGTACATCAGCATGTTCATTAAAGCTGGATATTTTTTTTGTTTCCTTTTTGGAGAGCAGATTCCAGGATCCCTAAATATTGCACTACTGAATTGCTTGCATCATTTGGAGGGCAGATGCTCTGCAGAGATGAACAATGCTTTCAGCATATGTGTGGTTGCTATTGTCATTCCTTCTAAACATTGCATTAGAATAATCAAGGAACATATCCTCTTTCAGTTCTCATTGATCCTACTAAGAAAACTCAGTAGACAGTGGGTGCTTGCACATATGAATTCTACGCCATTTTGAAACCACTCTAGACCTCAGTCTTGGAGAACTGAACTGATTTATTTCTGGCTCAGCTGCATTGTGGAGAAACCCACTAAGAACTTAGGGTGTCTGTTGATATTTTTAAGTCACTCCATTTCCCCATTGAAGGGAATTCTTGCTTATCCCACCTTTCAGATCCTGTAAGAGGAAGGCTAACTTGAGAGCTTCGAGGTTTTCCCTCAGTTGCCACTAGCTAGAGAAACAAGCAGGGATGAAACTGAATTTTGTCAGTTTCCTACTTCCCTATACTGTCAGATTGGCTTGGGAGGTACCAAGCAGCTCGGTTTATTTATTTTTATTTATTTCAAAATTGTATAACGCCACCCAACTCTATAAGGACTGAGCAGCAATTAATCATTTAATACAATTAAAACAAAACAAAAAAAATCACCCAAGATTTTTGGCTGGGTGGGTTGTTTTCTTTCTCTCTGTTTGTGTGATGTAAGGGTGAGATTTTCAGGAGGGGCAGAGAAATCCCTGCTCATAACATTTCTGAGTTGGTGGAGGTAAAGACAAACACAGATTGCCTTTCAACTGCTTTTGATGGCTTAGGGAGTAAAAAGAGTGGTGGTACAGAAATGTCCATTTAATGGCACTGCTAGCTCTGGAAGACTATTTTCAATCAAATATGCCTACCGAAGTAACCCTCAAGCCATGTTTCATGCAGAAATACAATGGGCCAATACCTCAGTGGCAAGGATGGGAACACACACATTTTTCCAGATCTGGTTGAACTACAATTCTCAGCAACCCAACCAATGTGGTCTATGGTGAAGGAGGCTGGGAATTATAGTTCACAGAATCTGGACACCCACAAATTCCCACTTGTAAATGATGGGTGATGTAAAGAAATGTGATACAACTCCAGGTCTCTGGGAGAAGATTATTGGTTAATATAGGCTCTTATATTTTGATTTGTTTCTCAAAGCACACTAATGTATTCCAGCTCAGCATCTGTAATTAAAGCTGCTAAAACATTTCCAGAGAAATGGCTCCTCCCTACCAAAAAAGGAAGGGAGAGGTATTTCTCTTCCATGTTCTTTTTTGATAGGAAAGAAACATAGAACTAGTGGTGGAAAAAGACAGGAAAGCTGCAAATTGAAGATGATGTGTGTAGAGCAGAACAATTTCATAAGCAAAGCCTTACCAGGATGATCTCTTACACACACCACTCAAAGTCACAGCCATTGAATTAACCAAGACATATTTTTGAATAAACACTTTAGGATGGTCCTAAATTAAAACAATAATACTAATACACATATACTACTGTGGTTAGTTACTATGAGTACAGAACAAAAGTATAAGAATTCTTCCAGATCAATTCAACCTAAGCATTTTTCACACACTGTTGCTGCTGCTGTTATAACTTTGATTCTTCTTCCCTCCCCACCTTTTGGCACCCTAGAATTTCCTTCAGTCTCGAACCAGGGGTGAGCGCTACTGGATTGGCCTCAGTGACAACAATATCGAAGGGCATTGGAGATGGGTTGATAACACAGACTACAGAACCAGCTTCAAGTAAGACAAGCCTATGCAGTGCACTTCTCATATCCTACCATTAGCCAGGTGTCTTGACAGATTTCCTGATTTTTCCATCCTGAAAAGGCAGAAATGGGAGTTTCATGTAGCTCCTTCCATATTTAAAGTATTTGGCACCCTAAACTAACAGATACACAGACATGAACTCTGCCACCAAACCAAACTTACCATAATCCTTGGGAGAAAAGATTAATATAGGACTGCACTGATACAAGCCTCTCCATACTCTTTGTTCACTTGTTCTACTATGATGCAGGAGTAGAGAACCTGTAAACTACAACTCCCAGCAATCCCAACCACAAAGTTGATAGTGGTGGATGTCAGAAACTGAAGTCCAGCAGCCCCTGGATGTCCAGAAGCCTGCTATCTCAAAATGTTGCCATTGCACTGGCTAGGAGGGAAAGAATTGCAGGAAGAATAGCAGAGAAGCTATTCTAAAGCTAGAATAGAGAGGAATCTGCGGTGAAGAACTGCTGAGTCCCTGTTTGCACAAAAGAATTGCCTCTGTGTTGCCTAGCCATTCTGTATACTACACAATTCTATGCTGCACTGGACATTTTTCAGTTGTCTTCCTCACACCCTCCATTTAACTCCCACACACATCAAGAGTGAACTCTACCTGCACTGAACTTTTCCATGAAGTATTCAGATAATAGTATCTGACTGTTACTTATGTCACTGTCAAATACAATATTGACAACTGGCAGAATCAAGGAACAAAGATAGCAATTATTTTTTAACCATAATGCATTAGGGAGCCACTGGAAAAAAAACCACGATCATCCTTTAATATATAAAACAATGTATAGTTGATCTGCTTGAAATGACAATTCAGTGAGATCTTCCAAATGAAGGCATCATTTATATACTCATGCAAGATGAGCCTGTTGGTCACATGACTTCATAAGTCAGTTCTTGCCATTAGCAATGTAGCCAGTACAGCTGCCTCAGCCTGTGCTCTTTGGCCTCTCTCTCAACTCCTGAGATCACATCAGAGCAGTGCTTGGCACAATAAGATAAAGGAGCCTTAATGTAGAATTGCCAACATGCTACCAGTAGGAGTTTAGAAGGCAATGGAGAGCGGTCAGGAAGGGCAAGTACTGAATGGCTGGAAGTTCTCTGTAAGCTCTAGAGACTAGCAAATATGTAAACATGTCCATGCTTATAATGTCCTAATGTCTGAAAATAGCCAAAGCAGCCCATATGCATTGGGCTTGGAAAAATTTTGAGATGGAAAAGCTGGTCATCTAACAATGGCTTTATATATTGGTGGTCTCTTCTGCAAGATGACCTCACGGATGAAGAGGATCATTTGGCCATTAGAAGCAAGCATAGCTGCCTGCTTCTCCATGTTTTCATTGCCTGTTCATTTATCCCCTCTAACTAGAGTAAGAGCATAATGAAGTTTCTTCCACTTGCCTTGTTCTCTCCTTTCAAGCAGTTGTTCAGTTTGGGCTCAGAGAGAATGCAGATGCTTAAGTAACAGTGAGGAAGAACTGCTGAGCCTGTTTCAGGATGGAGCTCAATAAGCACAGAGGCATATCTAAAAATTCCTACAAAATCTGGAACCCACCCACTCATTCATCACTACTGTCCTTGTTGCCCATTCATTGCACACTGCTTTGTCAACCAACTTCCCTTTCACTGCTTGCTCACCTAAAAGGACAGATGAACAAGCAGTGTTAACAAGGAGAACATGGAGACTCAAGTAACTGGCAGTGGACTTCTACTGAGCTTTGGCCATTGACAAGAGGTCAATAATGTCAACCATTAGGGATATACCTGTTCATGGGTAAGAAGTACTATGGAGAAAGTGATGAAGGTGGCAAATGTGGGAGACAGTGGCCACCCAAAATCATTTTTAATGAATTAACTTGCATTTAATCCCCAAGAAGCAGCATGTCAAGATTGGGATTATGTGTGAAAAAGACTTTAGGGAATAGCCTTCAGATGTTGCTGAATTATAACTCCTAGTGTCCCTCACTATTGATTATGATGGCTAGTGCTGTTGGGATTTGTACATCCAGAAGAGCACTAATTCCCTACCTCTGCCATAGACACTAAGAGTCAGATGAAGAAACAGCCTTCTCTATAGATATAGGTATAGGTGTAGGTGTAGATATAGATGGTATATAGGGCATGACCTACAGATAGATAGTGTAACTACCGTGCTAATGTTAAACCAGTCCCAACCTGGCAGATACTCTGCTGAGCCTTGGAGGCCTATCTATGCTTCCTCAAGTTTCATACTGGAAAACAGTGGGATGTACATGTAATAACTGACTCAAAGCCACCACTGGAAAAGTACAGTTTGGATATACTTGGTGGGCAGAAGATGATGTGGGTGAAGAGGAAGGACATCTCTCTCTGAATTTCTCTCAGATTAATTTGACTATCTTCCTTATTTAGGAATTGGGCAAGAGGTGAACCCAATGACCATGGCAATAATGAAGATTGTGCCCAGATCCATGAGGCTGGTGAATGGAATGATGTATCCTGTAACACAAAAAGCTTTTATGTGTGCAAGAAACCTTTACCTTCCTAAAAAATCGAAGGGGAGAGAAATCATCTACTCTGGAATCACAATGATTCTGGAGAGCCAGAATGAAGCTATATATTAACAACAACAACAACAAGCAAGCAAGCCAGCATAATCAAAGAGCACAACAGAGAATAGAATAGAATAGAATAGAATAGAATAGAATAGAATAGAATAGAATAGAATAGAATAGAATAGAATAGAATATGCATGTAATCTAAACAATCTGTTGATGGAGACACCTTTGTAATGGTGGTGAAATAACTGTTCATATCCCAGGGTTCTCTGAACAAATGGATGGCAGGGCTTAATTTACACATGATCACACACAGCCACACAAATCATACAAAGGCTCATATTAATCTAGAAACATTACCCGTGACTTGGGATCATTTCTCAGTCTAATCCCTGAAATAGCTAGAATTCTCTGTAATAATTGTGAGGGAAATGTACTCTGAACCTGCTCAGAAGCCTTTGAATCTATGTTTATTTACTGTTCCAAGGCTGAACCTTGGCTGTGAAAACTGGTGCCAGTAGGGATAAACCAAGAAGCAGATAAAGCCCTGTAAGCCGATGGAATTCTATAGCATATATTAGTTAGGGTGATCTTGTTTAAATTAAAACAATAATACTAAGACTGCAGCCGGCATCCTTGCCCAAGAAACAACAGGTCTTCATTGTATTTAAATCTTCATTTGAAATCAGCACATCACCTTAGAAATAGTGGTCTCTATTGGCGCTAAACAAATTGTGCTTGTTCAAGTGAGGACAGGCAAAGTCTGTCTATTTCAGTCTTCGTTGTTTTCCTACCTATCCTTTCCAAGACATTTTGCAAAGCTGTACACAAGCCTCCTAATAAACTTATATTTAGACATCTTTGCTTCATGTGAGTGCCCCTGTGCTTTCCTCTAATAAGCTAATGGTGGTGTACATTTTTCCTATATATATGTGTAAGCTCAGAGATGCATTTATACGTATTTTTTAATGGCAAATCACATTCTGGACAGCAAAGGTGTCCATGTATGCTTCACATTACATAAAAGGGCAGGGGATGTGAAGAGGATAAGTTCATATAAAAACCCAGACCAAATGAATTTTCCTCCATCCCTCATGGAGAAAGCTGATAATATTGAATGAATGAAAATGAAAACTAATTTCCTAACTTACCTAATATATATCCAGTATCAACAACAACTGGGACCACTAAGAAAGGAAATGGAGAAAAATTATGTCTTTCAAATTGTTGGTGATTATGGAATTGCAAAGTGGGAAAGGATCCCAAGGATCATTTAGTTCAACTCTCTGCCATGTGCAGCAAAAACAATTAATCTTCAAAGCATGGCTGCCCAGCCTTTCCTTAAAAACCTCCATCCTCTGTAGATAGGCAGTTCCACTGTTGAACAGATCTTACGGTCAGGGTGTGTGTGTGTGTGTGTGTGGTGTGTATGTGTAATCTACTTAGATGCAGCCTAATGCCCATTATTTCTGGTCCTCATTTCTGTGGCAATAGAAAATAGTTCCTGAACATCTTCCCTATGTCACCCTTATATGTACCAGAACACTGATTCTGTGTCATATCTCCCCTAAGTTTGCTTTTCTCCAGACTGAACGCCCAAAGTGCTTTCAGCCTGCCCTCATATGGCATGTCCTCAAGTCCCAGTATCATCTTTGTTGCCTTCTGAACCTGCTCAACTCATCAATGCCTTTGTGGAAATGTGGTGCTCAGAATCATACACAGTTCCAGGTGTAGTCTTACCCATGCAGGGAATAAGGACTTCATGGGTCTTTGATATTGGATAGATCTATTCATTGTTATAAAAAGCAAGTTATGGAACACTGTAGCATCAAAGTTCTCGTTAGGAATATCTCTGGAAGCTGACCTTCCAAACCAAGTATTCAAAATTGACCCATTTCAGCTGTAAATCCTCCGTTCAGCAATACACAAATGGAACTGCCATACCACACAACCAAGCAGGAACTTACAGAATTTCCAGCAGAGAAATGGCAGGTAGCCTTGCATCATTCGGATGCTTTTTCCTGCAGAAATCTGTGATTTCAATAGAAAAAGCAGCTATGGAATGTAAGTGGAAACGGAGAAGAGGCTTACTGGGGCTAGTGTATCTGGACTGCAGAAATCTGAGCAACCATCAGATGACATAGCCTTTGCTGCCATCCAATAGATGTCCACTTTTGCAGCCCAGATACGGTAACCCTAGTCACATTTCTCTCCTACCAATTGCTTCTCTGCAAATTAGACCCTCCTAACTGCTTAGCAGTTTTGTGATTTTCACTCAGCTTCCTCAACATGTCAGATAGGGTTATCCTGATGGTGAATATGCCGGTCATGTTTGGCAACGTGGCTGGCTTTCTCTTGGGCTTGGCTGCCGTGTCTAATTCTTCTTCTCCAAATAGGAAGGAAGGACTGACTATGCGTGATAAGAGTCAAGACAATGGAGGGCAGGAAGAAGCTGGTTTTAATCATCCTCTGTTTTGAGAATATCACCCTGGCAATAAAGTTACAAAGTTATAAATGTATAACCTTTAATAATTTTCCTCTGAAAACTTTTCCTTAAAGTGGGGATGCAACAAAGAGCTTGCTTTTTAGAAATGAGTAAAAAAAAAAAAAATGACCCCTCATCCCTGATTGTTTAGGCCTGCCTAGGCAACCAATCCAGGAAAAAAAGAAATTAAGCAGAAAGCGGAAGGAGAAAAAGGGTGCTGATGCAGCAGCAAGAAGTAGGGAAAACAATGCCACTGCAAAATGACAAAAAGCAAAATAATCGTTTTTCAAGAAATATTTCCACACATACTCCCTTGAAAGCACTATTCAAAGCAGCTCTCATTCTCTAGCTGACAGTTCCTTCCTAACCTTTCCATTAACAACAGGGGACAAGGGAGTTGCATTCTGCCCCCCGCCCCCCAAGCATGACATGGTTCTTAATTCCCCTGAAGTTAATGAAATGAGTGAGGTCACTTCCCAACTTCAGTTTTTCCCAGTCACGCAGATCAGGTCCCATTTCAGGAGCCTTAACGTGTTTGAGGAACACACAAAAAAGCCAGAAGTGGACAGACCACGAACGAGGAGTGATTTGGACAAATGGGAGTGATAGGGAGAGTGACTATGTGCCATTAACTCTCCCTATTGTTTTGAGATTTGCCTACTTCTGTACTGAACATTGAAACCCTCCAACTCTGTTCACTGATGGTGGTCCATATCCAATGGGCATCGACTCTTCAGCACTTTGTGACCTACTGACCACAAGAGGGATGGCTGAGTGTAGAGAATTAAGGAATTACTTGTGTCTCCTCTTCATCTTCACCCAGCTGCCTTTTGTCTCAGGGTTTACTAATCTGTGGGCATTTCCTTCTGCCTTTTCCCTAGACGTACATGTTGAGGGCATCTGCTTTTGGATTCTCCTCCTGGTAGCCTGCAGATAGGCTTTGCCAACCTGTAATATATTTGCAGGAAACCTGTATCAAAATTCACATCACCAGCAACTCAGTAGTATAAACTGGGGGTGGACACAATCACTTTGGATTGAAGATGGCATAACAGCAAAGTTGTTGCCTGCAGTTCATCTACTTATTGGTTTGTTAGATTTATATCCTGCCTTTCTTCTAGGAGCTCAGTGAGAGTAACGTGGGGATCTCTGCTCATTTTATCCCAATAACAACCTTGTGAGGAGGGCAGCAGTGGAAATGGGAAGGAAAAGGGAGACAAATGAAAGGAAAACTAGCCAAATTCAGGCAAAAACTTACAACTCTGAATCACTCTGGCTGCCTGCCTCTGATGTCACTCTCATTTCCAACAACATCTCATTCCATGCTCATCCATGGAGAGCAGAAGATGTTGAGGGTATGTGTTTCAGTTATTTTTTCTTCACTTGTTTTTAACCTGATGTTAGCCACCCAGAGTTACAATTACAAGTTGGGAAGGCATATAAATCATTCAATGGATGATTAAATGCATAGTTAAATTATTCAATAAATACATTTGCCAGAGGGAGCTCTGTAAACAGACACAGAACAAGGGGATACATCGCCAGCACCTTTTACAGCCTAACTCAGCTTCAGCATAATTTCAACAGGCTTCTTCATAAATCACAGAGCCATGCATGGTTATAATGATTTGTCAAGCTATAAACTGAATCCCATTCATTCATCCGAGTTTCAAGGGCCAAGTAGTAACAGTCAATAGATTTTGACTCTTAGCTCAACAGAGTAGTCAAAATCATAGTGAGCAATCTGAATAAAGGGATCAGATTGAAGAAGCAAGATGGTTGCAAATATCTGGCTGTAGGGTTACAAATACAAGAAGTAGATATTGCCAAAACATAAAAATAAGAAAGGATACAAAAATAATTCCAGCACTGAAACCTACTCTGAGAGGTCATAAATACCTGAGATTCCTTAACTTCCCACCCAGGCACAGCTGAAGCTGAACAGCCTGATTTATTGAACCAGGCTCAGCAAAGCCTTGGCTTCAGTCGGTGAGGTTCATAGCAAGCAGCCACTCCTCCACCTTGCAGTCATTCATTTTTGACATAGTGCCAACAGGATTCCCAAGAGTTACATGACCTAGACTCTAGCTCAAGATCTGAAGCCATCTCAGGAATTAATCTGTTTTCCCAGTAGTTCTTAGGTTCAGCTGCACAGTTCCTGGGCGAATTGGTTATTCTGCTTGCTTGTCTTCAAATGAAGACGAAGTGTCCTATTCCTACCGTACTCCCTCTGCAGCTGAGTAGGGCTTATGATTATAATGATGATGGAACTCAGATACTAAATTTGGGGGTGGATATGCCTAGCATTTTCCTAGTGTCTTTTTTCTGAGCCATATCAGATTCAGGGCTGAAAACATTATCTGATCTAGAAGATGCTGCTGGTATGTTCTTGGAAGAAGCATCAGGGAAAGAATAGCAGTCTACTTACTGTATAGAACCATAATAACTGTTACCATTTTTATGGCAAATGGAGTCCTTAGCTTGTGGGAAGCTTCTGTATTGTCCCTTCAGAGAGTCCATGTAGTTATTGCTTTTTTAAAGTGTTGTTTTAACTTTTGGAAATGTTTATTTCTTTTTTTGATGTCCATAATTGTGGGGGGCAAGGAGGATCTATTTTTTATTTTTAATTTTAATGTTGGGTTCTCAGTTTATTGAATATAGTTTTTTCTCTTCTTTCTCTCTTGCATAGCTCTTTTCTTCTTTTTGTGGGGAGGCTCCAAGGAGGGAATATTGATCTCATATGAGACCAAATACAAGTCTCTTAATATTCCCACCAGTAAGCAAAAGCATTCCGGATCTTCCCTCTTTCTTTAGATGGAACAGTCTGTGTTCCCCCAGATTTCCAGCTGGTTTCAGTCACAGGAAACTATTGCCCTTTTCAAAATAGGTTCTATAACTTTGCCTCCCCAGGATTCTGATTGCTTGTTATTTATTAAAGATAGTTATTGTTTTCATTCTTTCAACCAACTCTCATTTGGAACAATTTCTCCTCTCTCTCCTTCACTTTACAACGAGAAGTCTTATATCCTCCCTGCCTGCACCCCCTTTTAAACAAAAAGTTATAGGAAATATTTGAGGAAACATCTAGTGTTGAGGGAAAATGCATTGGAGTTTATACCTTTATTTCTTTTTTTAAGAAATTCACAGTGTGCTTATCATCTATTCTACATTTTATTCTTTTCGCTTTGTTCCACCAGGAGGACCATCTTTTTTTTCCCCCCTGTTTGTGCTTGTTGCTGTATATCAGAGTTGCCTTAGCAATGGGAATTATAATGTTCAACCACATACTGAAAACCTGAGCGTTACTATTCTATGAAAAAAAATTGGAATGTAGCTGGACTGATTTTTTTTTTTTTAATACTTTGTCAGAAAGAAGCACCATTC